TTTATAGTTTAAATCAGTTATAAACATTATATTTTAAGATAGCTGTTAAGGGAAATGAAATATGCCAAAAACATTTGGAGAAATGTAGTTTAGTTTTTCTTTCTTGAATTGGTTTAGTTCTATTTTATTTTATTTAAGTTTGTTTATCATTACATAGAAAATAATGGAAAAATGAAAAACAAAAATCTTGTTGGATGAAATCATAGATTGAATGCTCAACTTCATTTTATTTATTTTTTAATTTTTGTTATATTTAGAAATTAACTATTAATTTAATTTAAGCTGTATTTGTTAACTTATTACAGCAATTAGATATTTGTGGAAATAAAACATTTTATGTAAATGTTATCATAGGTAATGATAAATAACTATTAAGTAAATCTTTATTGTAATTAATTGATATTTAATGTTAACAGTTTATTTAATTGTTACTTCTAACATTAATGTGTACAGTACACAATGTTTTATTAAGATATTAATAAACATGCTTTTTTATCAAAAAGTTTTTAAATATTGGGTAATTATAAATTGTTAATACTGGTTTCTTAAGTATTTGTTACAAGTTATTGAATAAATAATGTTATATATTATTCATAACACCAAAATATTTACAAATTATTTTTTAAGCGAATAGAAAGAATTCAAATTTTGTCATTGTCTTTGAATTTTACTAGTAATAGAAATGGATTTATGTTTAGTTTCTTGAAATAGTTTGTGCTTAAGCATGTTTACCCAATATTTTTTTTATTCTACAATATATGATTTCTCAGAAGAACTAATAAAATTTTTTTTTTTACTTCTTCTTTTGTTCTACTATAATTCCAAACTATGACGACAAGTTATGAAATCGCAGATCTTTTATAACTTGAAGGGTTTAATCTGTTTTGTATATTTAGAGTGATTTTTTATGATTTGTATTGTAAAATTACTTTATATTGTAATATTGATATTTACTTGTCAGTAAGTTCAGGACATGCGCTCGTTCAGAGTCAACCACTGTTCTTTGAATATCTCTTAACAAATATCATTAGCATTCATTTTTTTCTGACTATATGAAAAGTTTTCTCATCATTAATATTTCACTTCCTTAAGGATTTAAAATAAAATATAAAATATTTGTTTTTGTAGCTAAACCCTAATTTTGATGTTTATGTACAGTGTAAAATTGTTTGGCAAGTAAACTTTGAATTTTCTTTCAGAAATGGAGCAATATGGCCAATTAATTAGAAAGTTTGGAGAAGCATGGATAATGTTATAAAATACAAATTTACTTAAGACTATTAATTAATATTTAACTTCTGTTAATTTAATTTTTTTAAATTATTTTCTATTAAAATAATAGTGTTCTTATAATAATGAATTTTTACTTCATATTTATATAATATTAATTTTTAAATATCTTTACAAAATAGTTTTTATTTCCATAAATAAATTTTGTTTTAGTCATTAAAGTTGAATGAGGAATATTTAGCATTTTTGGATAGTACTTTAATTAGCTTTAATTTATATTTAGCATGATATTTATTCATAAATACAAAATTGAATAATGTTTTAAATATGTCTAAAAATTTGATTATTTCTGTAAATTTTGTGTAATGAAATATTAAAATTAAAAGATAATGAAAATTATTATAATATACAATTATAATCTAGTGAAAATCAATACAGTTGACACTTAATTTATGTTGATATTTATGAAGACTGTTTCTTTTTCAACCTCCAACAGTCCATTAAACAGAGACAAATGTAAATAACAAAATAAATTTATTACCAAAAGTTAGGTACAAACATGGTTACTTTTCAACATAATCACTGTAAAGATTGAGGCATTTGTCATATCTATGGACGAGCTTTGAAATTCCCTCTTTGTAGAATGTTGCTGCCAATGACTTGAGATAGGCCCTAATGTTGTTTTGAAGATCGTCATTAGTCTCCAACCTCGGCCTTCCTAACCATGTTTTCTGTTCAGGAAAGAGGTGGAAGTCTCTCGACACTAAATCAGGGCTATATGCTGGGTGTATAAAGGTGGTGAAGACTTCCACCCAGCTTGAAACTTTTTATGTTTTTATCATTTTTAATCATTTTTTATATTATAGAATTGTTTTGGTATTATGTGTTTTTTGTATTTTTATGATTTAAAGAAAGCTTAACTTTCTGAGATATATATTATTTCTATTTTGGTTGGATGTCTTGTTAATATATAGTGAAGTGTCAGAAATCTGGATTTTGCCATTAAAAAAAAAAAATGGACATTAATTCTATTTACTGGTAACTTTATTGTTCTTATTTTTTTGACCTTGCATTATTTATGTTCTAATATTCATTCAGACTTCATAACTTTTTAATTTTGAAATTATAATTAGTATATTTTTTGTTTAAATTATTATTCTATAAATTGTATTATGCATCTTTGTAAGTATTCCTACCTTCCTTGTGAAATGCTGGCTAAAGCTTAGAACATGTAAATGTGATTTACAATGTAATTGGAGTTTATAGTGCTAAATTACACATTTACTTGAAAATCCAGATGGGGTTTAGTCCCAATTAGTCTAAATTTTTGGCTCTTCACTGTACTTATTTTCTATTTCTTACATATAATTCAATGGTGTTCAAACTTTTTAAAGAGATGCCACCTCTTTTTTGTAAATTTTTTTTTTCAATATTTTCTCTAAACATTTTATTAAAAAAATACTTACGTATAACGTATAAATTTCTTCAGATTATTTTATTCCAATAAAACTAAGATTTTTTTTTACAGTTTTTATGTAGTATCTAAAAATACTACATAATTTTATATCTTACAAAATAAAAGTAAGATATCACACAGAAATAGAACAGAAATCAAATTGACATAATGATGTAATGATTACATTGAGTCAACTACAATGATAACTTACTATGAAATAATAGTAACAAAATAAACATAGAAATGGCAAGTGTTTTTAATTTTATATTGTATTGTATTGATAGAATATCAGGTACATTCAGAAGTATTTAAAATAATAAATAGAGGCTGCTTCTCATGTATTCCTAGGGTCTTGCACTCCATAATTAAGAGAACCATTGTTATAATCCTTTTTGCTTTTATAATTTTATCTTTTGATAGTAAATTTTGTTTTGAATCAAATCTATTCCTTTCTGAAATAAGTATGTGCTATATTAGAATTATATATATGTAAACTCTTTATGTTGTTTTGTAAATACAGCTGTTTTAAAAAGATAGATTATCTGAATTTCTTGTTATATGTAGAATTAGAAAAGAATTTGTAATAGAAATTATGATAAATTTCCTTTCTTTAATATATATTATTCCTAGAAATCTTCATTGTTATGACTAGCCCACTCTAGTTCTAAGTATAATTACTACAATATTTAAAACCAGTTTACTGTTGTTGTCTAGTTTCTTACACTAAGTAATTTAATATATTTTGACATCTTTTGTAGTTAATTAACAGATTAATCTTGTGAAAGACTTACATACTTCTTTCACACTTTTACTTTTATTTGTTGTGTGAAATCCGCGATTTTTACGCCGATGTGGGAAAAATCTTTGTAAACAACTCTGAGGAAAAACCCACTCTTGGTGAGAAGTATATCAGAGGTCACCGATTGTTTTCACATTAAGGTGGGAAAGTTGACACTTAGTTGATCGGAATGCACCGTAAGTGTCGACAGAAGTCGATCACGTGACTCATTTCCCACGAATAACGTATAAAAGCTCGAGTCCCTGGAATCTCCAGGCGATCCCTCAGAAGTTATACTTGGTAGATGTGCCATATTTGTCTCCATACTTCGGACCGAAAGGACATACGACCAACCATTTGAACTTCCATTGCCATTAAATTAACGAACATATTCAACGAACGCGTATTAGACATATCCGCATAGAGGTATTTGTACTTTTAGAGCTTTGTGAACTCTCTCTCAGACTAGCCGGGAAAGCTATTAGAGCGTCCCTTTTGTATAGTGAATTTATTTAATCGCATTTAACCTATGTATCCTAGCTTAGTTATATAAATAAATGCTTGTTTAGCTTTTAAACCTGTCTCCTGTCTCTGAAGAACACCTGCCGACTTACCGACGCACTCCCCACTCAAATGTTTGCCCTCCTAGCCATCTGACAAGCCAGAACGGGTTTTACCAACCTGTTGCAGAGTAAGTGGTCATTTGGGATGAGCCAGTGGTCCACTGCTAATCGCACAGTTGTATAATAAACTGGTATTTATAATAAAATGAATTACACTTCATGCCTACATTTAAATTTGTAAAATAAATACACTTAAGTGTTGTGGCGTTGGTTTTCTGCTCTAAATAGTTGCAAACAGTATCGCCACAACATTTAAGTGTATTTATTTTACAAACTGGTATTTTTTAAACTGTACACTGTAGAACTATATCTTATATTAATTAAAGTTCATATAAAATTTAAAATTATTATAAAATATCAACAAAAATAAGATTTGAACTTGGCACCATATTCAAAAAGATGAGAAAAAATACTTAATTTTAGAAACCAAACTAAATTTTAATCAGAATCTGCATTAGCTTGGTTATTTGCACAAAATTATGGTACTTGCTTGAAATTTAAAAAAAAAAAAAAAAAGAATTTTGTGTGTAAATTATTCTGTATAAGACAAGTGTTATTAAAATCAGTTCTTACTAATTATATGTTTTGTTACTTATGAACTCATTTTTAAAAATTGCATCTAGAGAGAGAAGAAATCATTACTGTTCAAAATAATTAGAGAGATTATCTCCATCTTGAATAAATCAAATTCATTCAATTTTTATAATATTTTTTATGTATCAATTTCATTCTTATGTATGAATTTTAGTATTTAAAAACATAAAATTTAAAAAGTACATTATATTATCATATAAGATAAATGTATATTTTTTAAGTGATTTGAATAAATCTTACAGTTATCCAATGAAACTTTACAGGACTATCTCTTTGGCATACTTTTATAGAATATTAATTTATAAATTTTTAATTTTAGGCTCAACCAATACTCCAGAGGATATGGCTTCTTCCAAAAATTCTTTGGTAAGTTAAATTTTATTATATATTGTAAAATATCTGAGTAAATTGTTGTAAATATAGATAAATTTCTACAAAAAATTATTTGGCTATTTCTGTAAAAATATTTAATTACTAATAATTTTAGTAGATTTATAAAGTATACAGAGCTTTTGTTTACTTGCATTTTTATGCATCAAATTTAATATTTTCACACTTTTGACTTGTAACATTTTCACTTATGAGTCAATTTGCAACTCACTGAAATTTGATGTTGCAACTATTATATTGACAACTTAGTTTTTAATTTGGAGGACAGATTTTCAGATTTGGACCTTTCTGTATTGTCTATCTTTTACAAAATTTTCAATCCAACAAGATATCCAAGTACTGTGCTGATGTCTGTGAATGTAGTTCTGACCAATTTGAAAACTTATTACAAAAATATGGCAGTATAAAGAAAGAGCATCGTAAGACTTTTGCCTGTTTAAATATACTGTTTCAAATATGAACAGTGTGACTTTTAAGGACATTTGCTTTAATTTAATCAAACCTGGTTCAGAGCTCCACAACCTGTTCCCAGATTTTTGTATGTGGTCTTTCAATACCAACGAACAGTGCAACTTGTGAAAGAGCCTTTAGTATTCAGAATAGGAAAATGCATAACTAAAGAAGCTCTTTGCAGAAACAGAGTCTCAATACACTCAGAACCCTTGCTATTAATAGGCCTTCTAATACAAGATTTCCCTTATGGAACAGCTACAGCAAATTTTCAGATTATGAAAGAAAAGCAAAATATTGAGTGATGATAAGTTTAAGTATGTACCAGTGCTGTATTTCTCAACTGTTAAGAAATACAGCACTGATACTAATATCTACAAACATCTCCAAACTCGATATACAATATAGCTACATACCACCAGAATGCCGAAAATTTATCGGGCTAGTTTAATGCTAATTATTAAATAAATTACGTAATCAATTTGGCACTAGAGGTAAGCGTTAGGCATTGTAATAACCGTCGATGGTTATGTAGTTAGCGTATATACACTGGAAGAGGAGATCGGACTGGAGGTCCAGTTAGCGTAACTGGCAACGCATCTGCACGGTAAGCAGGAGTTGTGGGTTCGAGTTTTGCTCCGGGCCGATATTTTCTCCCAGCGGTTCTAAATTATTTAAATTAATTAATTTATTTATAATTATTAATATTAATAAGAGATGGTGCCTAACGCTTACCTATAGTGCCAAATTGATTACGTAATTTATTTAATAATTAGCATTAAACTAACCCGATAGATTTTCGGCATTCTGGTGGTATGTAGATACTAATATCTACAATATATTTTAACTTGTAATGTACAGAGTTATGTTCAGAATGTTCTTCTCCAGGCATTATGTCTTTTAGTTTCTAAGAATACTAACAGGTTTTTTATACAAATTAATTGTATAAAAACAATAGAGTAATGATTTATTCTATCAGCTAATGAATAGTTTCCCCAAACCTATAGTTTTATCAGTTTTTCCAGAATACAAATAAAATAAAAAATTCTTGGGAAGTCTTCAAAGTCATTCTAAACAGAGCTCTTCAAAATCTGATTATATTGAATTCATGAATTTGAATGTTATTATTATACTTTTTATTTGAATCTTGTTGCAGGAAACCATTCTAGAGAAAACTTCATGCTTTGCATCTTTGTTCCAAAAAACCTCACATTTTATAAATCCAAGTCATTGTCTTCTAATGATTACATGTCAATAACATTGTAAAATTTATTCAACAAGTAAATAAAAAATACTTTAATACCTCTAATCTGTAAATTATATTTACAATAACAATAATTCTTTATTGAATTGTGTATATGATGATATCTATACATGATATTTTTCATACATTAACTAGTCTTTTAAAAAGAAAAAGTAATTGATCTAATCCAGATGGGCTCCTTGATCACATTATAACCACTATAAGTTCATATGCTAATTATTATCTTAGCCTTACTATAATTTGATAATTTGGCAGATCACTTGACTTTAATCAAAAATTGGGTTTATTGAATTGCTGTTTATATATAACTACTAGCTTACCTGTCGCGCATTGCTGCAATCTCAGAAGAAACGAAATTCAAGCAAACTCCTTATGATAAAATTCAATTTAAATTTTATCATTTTTATTGAAACTTATTATTATAATATTATTATTATTATTCATTTTCATCAGGAAAACATTTCAAAGTGTCGTTTCAATTCTAGTTATTTATTGGAGTGCTTGTGGATACACGATATTTTTTGTTTTTCTGTCTGGTGCGTACACAAATAAATCAGAAGGTTTTCTGACGCATGAGCTGGCCACATACAGTTGTCCATGCGAGAAGCACGGATTCTCCAAATTTAGCCTTGCACACTTGCAGCGATTGTCAGAAGTGCGATATTCCCCATTTTTATATATATTTTTTAATCCTTTATAATTTTAACTATTTAATTGCTCCTTCCTTTCTTTCTTGGCATGTTGTGAAATTTCTGATAGTTTAATAATAAACCATTTTATTGTAATTTGTCTTTCTAAATTATTTTGAGTCGATATTAAAATTTGGCAAAGGGGATTCCTAGATCGGTAAAATAGGCAAATTTCCTCCTACAACTTCGGTTGTTGTTCAGGATACAGTTACAGTTTTAACAAGTTCGAATGAATACATAATTAGCAAAAAATAGCTGAAATAAAGTGATTAAACAAAAATTATTACAAATGTCATAAATAACAGTTCACAAATGCATATATAGAGATATTTTTTGGAGGGGGAAAATGGTCTTCACAATTTGAAATCGATCGAACACACAGTAAAATGCTCTATACACGCGTGTCATCTATCGTAGGATAAATGTACTATGCCAGAAATTTTTGCGGGAGTGTATTTAAAAACTTCCCAAAGCTTAATGGCAATTGTACTATGCCAGAAACCTTCGCGGGAGTATATTAAACAACTTCCCAAAGTTCCATGGCAAAGTTTCATGGATAAACAGTGTGGTAATACATGAAGGACAGACGAACAGACAGACATACATTTATTTTTATATATATAGATAACAATTGAATGATTTTATTTGTTTGGGGTGAATATGTTTTTGGGTTTTTTATGTTGCTTATAACTATTATAAAATGTTCATTACATTCCATTCATCAAAAAGCTTATCTACTCCTACTCTGAGTATTTGATTTTGATTTATTTAAACATAATAAAATATTATTTAATGTTGAACATTACATAACATTAACAAAATTATATCAAAAATATTTTTGGTTAGGTATATGAAAATGCATAAAATAAATAAATTTAAGTACACCTAATGTTATGAATGAATTCAGTTATTAATGGCTCGGTTTATATTGTGGCTAGGCCTTTATATAATTCTCTATAAGATGACATTAACGATTTCAGATCACATTGAAACTTTAAAACACATTCCTCATTAGGATCATATTTGACAAAATGATTACCCAATTTGTTAGCTAAAACAAGACCTCCTTTAATTAATTTGCATTTTTTTTATTAAAAAATGTGTTTTGCAAAAAATTATGTTAATTCATATAAAGTCTTTTGTATATTTCATTAAAACAACTCATATAAAAAGAAAATTATTGTTTTTTAAAAACTGTGTTAAATTAAAATTGTTTAAAAAATGTTTTTGTGAAAACAAAATTAGATGTATATAAAATAGAATATAAACATCCAAACATGCTAGGTATATATTAAAGCCAAACAATTGCTGAATTTTATCAGGCTATATTACTATTATTAATTAAATGCTAAGTAATTTGGTACTAAAGGCAGACACCTGCCTCTAGTGCCAAATTACTTAGCACTTAATTAATAGTAGTAGTAATATAGCCTGATATAATTCAGCAATAATTTGGCTTTAATATATAAAATATAATTATTGTTTAAGAGAAAGCATGAAAATTCATAACAAAATTAATATATTATTATTTTTATTTTTTTTTTAAACAGGAGTCAGCAACTAGTAGATCTTTATCTTTATCACATACATTATCTCAGAGTTTGCCCAGTTCTGTGACAAATACATTGAATTTTACATTACGTCAAACAGGAATGCCAACTGTATGTTTGTCTCATGATGAAAATACACAACTAGCATCAGCAGATAAATCAGAGGTATTTGGAAATTTTTATTAAAATTTATAATTTCAAAATCATTACTTTGATATTTATTTTAACTCTTCAGTTTTTTTTTCTGAGTAATTATTTCAGTATATATAATTAATATCATAAATTATAATTGGGCTGCAATTTTAAAAAATTTTAGATCTATAAATTTCCACTATCATCCATCTCTGTCCTTCCTTAATTAATTTCAAGAATGGTGTTTGATGAAAATCGAGATCACATATGGAAAGATTGGGCAGAAGACCCTGATTAACTATATATGGACTTCTAATCTAGACTGGTAGTCATGTGATTTCAGTTCAAAATATTTTCCCATAACTTATTTGCATGGGTGACTGGCATCACTCTGTTATTTTCAGGAAAAGTATCATGTACAGGGGCAAGACACTACTAATTTCAGATCAAAAGCATATATTTTAAATTAAATTAAAAATTGCAGCTCGGCATTTTGACAGGTCACAATGTGTCACAATAACTTTTTACTCATATTTTACTTAACTTTTTTCAACTTTTAATTTGAAAATGTTAAATCAAACAAAGAACAGGGTTTTATAATGCATATTTTAAATACTACTAAGAAATTGAGTTTAAAAAAAAAAAAAAAAGTTTTATCCATTATGAAAAGACTATATGAAAGCTGATTTTATTTTTTTCTAAAAATATATTGGAAAAGTTATATAAATAATCCAATATGAAATATAACAACAATGTTCTTGAATTTCAAGTTATCATTTATTTCTGCTCTTCTGTTACCTGTAAATTGGTCTGTAAAAAATATTTTCTTATTTCTTATTGCTATGTAATGCCAAATGTTGGATATCTTTTTGTAACTGTTGTAATGGGTACATAGCCATTATCTCGAAATCAGGTATACAAGTAACATTTTATTGTATACAGTATAATGTAAAAAATCATAAGTGATCAAAATTATTTTAAAAAAATATATTTTACTATGTATCTGTTTTTAGTTAAATGCATTTTTTAATGAATTAATCTATTTTCAATTTTTATGGATCAGTTTTATTTATTTTGAAAAATTTCACTGAAAGTTAATGTAGAAAAATACTTTTTTCTAATTAAATCTAATCTTATTTTAATTAATTTAATTAATCATTGTATTGGTGAAAGCTTAAATAAGACATTTTATTGTACACAAGTAATTTTTATGAGTATAATCTATATACACAAATCTATTAATTTGAAAAGGTGGAAAAAAAAGTTATTTATTAATAAGTAATTTTTCATTAAAACAATTTATCTAAATTTATTGATACCTTAATAACACTGAAACTGAAATAACTTATTGGAAATGATCATTTTTATTGTGAAAGTCTAAATTTATGAAAATAATAATAATAAATGTTGTCATATTATATTTTTTACATTTTAATTTTCATTCTAAAATTAGCTTTGAAAAAAATCATTTTATAAATTTGTAAATTTTATGTTAACTTTCAAAACTATATGATTGTTACTTATTAGTCTTTTTTAATTATATTGTTTAACTCTTTAAACATGAAATTGACTAAAATCAGTTTCTTATTCTTTAAAAATGAAATTGGCCAATTGAAAAGTTGTTAGACTAGTTTTGCTATACCAGTTCCCCTTGTAGCTTGAAAGGTAAAAACAATTCAGTCATTAGCAGCAGAGATGAAGTGAGTTTTCTGAGCTTAAAGAGTTAACATAATAAACTGTAATGATATGTCATTACATTTTACTATAAACAGCATCTATTTTATCTTGTTATAAACAAATTACACTATAGGAAAAACACCACATATAATTAGTGAGATTTTAATGAAACTGAGGAAAATAGTAGCGCACATAAAGATGTACAGATGATTACACCTTTGTATGCAAAATTGAAAAATTGCTAAAATTCTGGCAGAGGATAGCAGCTGGAGTCAACTATATGTTGGCCCCATTTTGCAGTATGCATTGCTATAATAAAGCAATGAATGTCTGAGTAACATGCTTGAGTACATGGAGTAAAGCTATCATATAGCTCTCTAATAGCCTAAGTGTTAGTGTCATGCATTATGGAGTTACTAGTAGCCCGGGATGCCCCCTAGTGGGCGTTGTTCACAAATTTCCATGAAACACGGTTCCTTTGACTTTTTTGTTCCTATGAATATGCTCTACAGCTCTGTTAAGGTCCCAATGGTAAGATTAGGTGAAGAGGTGGCGACCCCCCCAAACTGTAGCCCCCTGTGCGAACAATAAAGGCAAAGGAACCATACCTATACTCGCGACCCTTCGCGAGATATAAGCCCCTGAAATAATAAATTCCTATTACAAATATACTGAATTATTTTTATTGTTATATTGACCAAATAATAATTTATTGGCCAAATGAATAATAATAATTCATATTATTAATTTAAATAAGAATTAAAATTGTTAATTTGAATGTTTGAAATATGACACACGATAGGGGCGCCTCTAGTGTCCGTTATCAAACGGTTACGGGACGGACGGACGGATACCCATTGAATGGGTTATATATATAGATACTTTACTTGTACAGTACAATAGTTGTTGATATACCTGTAGAATATTGTCTCAATTACTGAACTATCTTGTTCCAAATGTAAATTAAATGGAAGAAAGATCAGATGAAATGGCTATTTATAACCATACAGTCATGTTTTAATCTTGAAGATACTAAATGCAAGCATGGACATTGTTGAGTATAAGCATTATTGGAAATGGGTCCATGCTTTTGATGAAGCAGAATAGCCATTCATTGTAAATTCTTAGTCAAATATTATTAGACAATTAGAGAAACATATAGAATGGCTAGCTTTAATTGAGATGTACAATTTTAATTACATTCCAAATCATAACACAGGCATTTAATAAAAAAATATATTTTTTAATTGATTGTGCTGTTGCCAAAGGGAATATTTTACATATTGAGGCAGATGAGTAGCCTCTAAAGAAAGGTTTACTCTGCTGTGGAACTGTTAATTTCTGATGTGCATGAAAAGGATGAGGTTTGAAGACACTGTCTGTTTTGAGAATTTTTTTTATGAATTTTCTAATTTTAAACATAAAACAGACATTAACATTGAAGAGCTTCTTTTCACTTTGATGCAGAATTTCCAATCTATCACCCGAATACAGCTCCTGAAACATTTATCTGGTCTGTGTAGCTCATTTTCACCAACACGTTTTATCATAAACATTTACACTTGCAAGTAAAACATAAATTTTTCTGAAGTCAAATAGATTTAATAGATTTTGCTGAAAATGATTTTTATAAAAATCTATTTAAAGAAGGAAGTTTGTTAAATTTTTATTAATCTCTACCAGAAGAGCGTTTTAAATCTTAAGAAGATTGCACAGGGGATATTTTCACTTTTGCTTTTATGTAAGTTACCTTTTTAAAAATGAAATACATAAAATTAAAACATCAAACATTATTGTCCAATGAATACTTAAAGGAGATTTTGATAATGGATGGTACAAAATTTATCTGCAGTTTTGATGAAATTCTTTGAAAAAAGCAGTTGCAAATTTTACATTGATTTATGTTGTTGTTGTACAGAAGTAAAATGTTAATTTTTGACTAGTATATATCTTTTGAACCTGGCCCCTAGATTTGTCTTGTACAGTTTTTGCTGAAAGTTTGTCATCCAAGCATTGCATTTGTCTCCATTATCTGGCTACATGAAAGAACATTTTTAATGGTGCCATGACTGAGTGAATCAGAATAAACACCTGGTGAATCTTAATTCTTTCTTGAACAGAATGACAGAATCTTTAGAACAGAGGTCTCCAACCTTTTTCTGAGAAGGGCATATACCTTCTCAGAAAAAGGTTGGAGACCTCTGTTCTAAAGATTCTGTCATTCTGTTCAAGAAAGAATTAAGATTCACCAGGTGTTTATTCTGATTCACTCAGTCATGGCACCATTAAAAATGTTCTTTCATGTAGCCAGATAATGGAGACAAATGCAATGCTTGGATGACAAACTTTCAGCAAAAACTGTACACACCACTTTTTACTGTCCAACTAGTGAATCATGCAAATGCAAGATATAGTCTGCTGCCCCTGTTGTGCCAATTGATCAGCAGTGAAAACCTTATCCTGCAGCATCATAAGCTACAAAATGTGGTCTTGTCACTTTGTGGTTACATGTCCTTCTGATCCTTATCTGCTTGTGAGAAATTTTTGTCAAATTTTCTAATCTTGTAAAATTTAAATTGTGGTGATATCGCAGGGAACTTAAACTGTAACTTCTCTTCAGGACAAACTTGTCTCTTTCACTTAAATGATTATTGTATGTTAAAAGTCTGTCAGCTGTTGGTATTCTTATGTGCATCTTTTCAATGGCGATTTTAACATTTATCAACAATATCTGAAGCTTTTTTCTGAGTTCTTTCTTTCTCTATTCTCTCATAACTTTTACAGAGAGAACTGTAGGAATGTTCACAACAACCACATAATTTGCATATCTTTACAAATATCACAATATTGCAAACTTTTAAAGCTTTTACATAACTTCTTTTACATGTTGCAATTTATTTTCTTATAATGTATATTGTAAACAGAAGATATTTTAGTTAATTATAGTTTCACTTACTTTTTTTACAGATCACACCTGAGATTGCAGCTGAAGCTGAAGATAAATCTCAAAGTAGCTTTTCAGCTGACAACTGCAATGGTATATCTCAGTCTGACAACTTATCCAGTGATTCCCTTCAGTCAGCTGCTAGTTGTGGAAATGTTAAAAGTATTGAAAATTTTAATAAAAATTCTTTAACATCAAATGCAGTAGATTTTGATGATGAGGATGATGATGAAGAGGAGGATGATAATGATGAAATAAAATTTACATCGTCTATAGCAAAAGATAAAACTCATGAGACAAATAAATCAGTTACTTCTAGTCCTAATTCTACAACAAATACAGATAATATTATTATTAAAATAGAGCCAAAAGAAATAGAAACTCCTGTTCATAACGTCAGATCATATGAAATTAAGAAAGAAGATATTGAAAGACCAGCTTGCCAATTAATTGCTTTACAGGTAATTAAACTTTTTTTCGAAACTATTTTTAAATAATTATTTTGATTTGTATATTTATATGTATAGTTAATTAATATAAATTGATTTTGCATTAACTGAGGAATGAAAATAATTTGATTATAAAAAGTAATTCTGTTGATAATTGTTAAGTTGTTTATTTAGGGAAATTAATATATTTCCTTATTTATTTACACTCAAAAAGAGATTGTATATATTTTTATATTATATATATATATATATTTTATTTTTTCTGGNTAATTCCTAAATTTGGATGAAATTTAGAGGTTGCTTCTAACTTTGAAACATCAAATTGCCTTTATTTTAAGCAAATTACAAGGTAATATCATACTAAGCATTTTAAATTTAGAGTTGATAATTTCCATGCTACAATTTCACAAGATCACATTGTGCTTCTTACTGCTATACTTACATGAGACTTCTATTTAAACAGTAAATGGTCCTGTGCTTAGTAATTTTTCAGATCATTATAGCAACTTCTAAATATTATTAAAAATTTTACCAAAATTACTTTCTTTTACTAATGGAAACATCAATCTTTTTTAAACTTAAAAATAAGGACCACACTACCCAGTATATTGCATCATTTGGCTGCTAAAGCACACAGAACAATTATCTGCCTATATTTTAATGGTCAACACATTCTCTGAAGGGTGAGTTCTGTCAACACGGTCTAACGACTCCTGTGAGAGTGTTGACTGAAGAACTGATTAACATTGTTGGTGTCATTGTCTGAAAAGACTGCAAAGTTTTCATCACTAAACATGATATTATTTAGTATTACATATACAAAAAATTCATCAAATAATGATATTAAATTTGAACAAAAAATTACTGAAATTCATGCTGTTGAAAAGCATCAAAGTATTAAATCTGAAGAATATGAAAGAATAATGAAAGGTATTGTTATTTTTAATAAATTGAATATATTAGCATATCAAAAAAATTGTAGATATAAAACATTCTGTACATATATATAGAATGCCTCAAAGTGTAAATAAAGTAAAAACAAAAACTAATATAACTAGTATAAAAAATTAAGATTTAAGATATAAAAATTAATAATTAGAAAATTTATTACAGAATTTCTAATTATTAAATTTAATACAAGATGGCATCTAAACATTTTTAGTCCAACTAATTAATTATAAAAATTATTTAATCTTTTTATAATTAATTAGTTTTTTATAGTTTATATATTATTATTAGCCATATTATAGTTTGAATAAAAATGTGGCAATATCATAACAATTGTGTAGATCAAATGATGCACAATGTCTACTTCATTTGAATAGGTGGCATTATGTTACCTTCATATATTTTTTCATTGAGATCTTGTTTAAAATACAGTTTTTTTTCATTAGTATCATGTGCAACTAATATTAGCAGTTGAATGAAATATCAATTACTAATATAGTTAATGAAAAAATGATGTGATGAAGATAATCTCTGATCAAGTATAAAAAGAATAGATATAAAGGACATATAGAATACAAGTATATAAAGAATAGATTCAAATAAAAAATTTTCACTTTAGTTATTTTTGTTTCTGTTAACTGCTCAGTTTATCGTGGAGTTTAGCTATTACTATATTTTTTAATGTATTTTACAATTGCAAAATACTTAGCTATGTGTCTAAAAGTATGATATGATATATATAGTCTGAGCTTATTCTTATTTTTTACACAATGGTACATTATGTTATTGCTGTACTGTTATTGTCTGAAAGTCGTTCATCAATTGGAACTATTAATATTTTTGAAAATTCAATTCATTATATGAAAAAACAATAATTTTTCTTAAAGTTACAAAATTTAAGAATACAGTAATACCTTGAGTTACGTAAGTAATGCAGACTGTAGATCTTTACATAACTCGAGTTTTATGTAAGTTGAATTTGTAAATTGCTTCAGTGTAACTACATAATTAATAACTCAATACTGTATTTATTATTATGTGTACTGTACATATATTATTTATTTTTTTTTGTATAAAAGAATTGTGTTACAAGAAAGAGTGCCCAGTATGCTTGTGTATAGTCTTACTATTAGACCAAAAAGTAAAGGATTAGCAGAGCAATAAAGTAATAAATCAGTACAATTTTTGAGATTTACATTTTACGTAACCACAAATTTACGTAAGTTGCATGTTATGTAACTCAAGGTATTACTCTAATTCATTTTACATATTGAGGCGGGTGAGTAGCCTTAAATCGACTCCTCTGTAGAACTGTTAATTTTCTCATATGTGTGCAAAGGGACAATGTTAGAAGTCACTTTTAAGAATTTTTTTAAAATTTGGTAACTTTAACTTATTGGTCCTGGCAACTTTTATTAAATAATTTTTTTTTCTTCATACATTTTTATGAATTTAGTTGATTGTATATAGTATTTCAGATGAGTTAAAATTATAGTAAGTTTTTATGTAGGAATTAAGAGGGATCTGATTTTCTATTTAAATTAGATTATTTGACTATCAGATATTCAAAATAATGTTTTTATTAACTATACAAATAAATTTTTATTCATGCATAAACAGTTTTTTTTTCAAAGGACTAGAAGCATTACATTTTATCACAATTATTATGAAATAATAGCTAAAATAGTAAGTCAGTATTTAAGAAAGAACATTTTTCTAACATTTAAAAATATTAAATACATTTATCACTATTTATTACTGACTGTATGAAAACATTGTATAAAACAATCAAATATATTTTATTACAGAATTTTCTCATTTTAATTATTTAATATATATTCATTTATTGCAAGATCCAGTTTTAACAATGGAAGAAAAAGAAATTGGTCAAGAATGTGTAGATAACATAAACCAAAATGTGTTATTGAAACAGTTGTTACAGAATTGTCCTTCAGCAGAAACACAGAGAAAAGCTGATCATTTTGAGGTAAATTTCATTTATTTTTTTAAACATTAACATTTATTTATATATAAATATCTTCACTAAGTTAAACTATTTAGCACTTTTACATACAATTTTTTTAAGTACAGTGAAATAACAAGTTAATTAGATACATAATAAATTATTAGCAAATGTGACCTAAAATTTTATAATTTTAATACTGAAAATTAGAAAACATTGGAATTGTAAGATTATGACATTTTTTTTACTCAGAGTTGTGTAAATAATATAAGTAAGTAAAGATGGTCTTTATTATAGGAGCTGAAAGCAAAAGTTGAAATTTGCATAGGAACATCTGTCTTGTTTCAATTATTGAAAATAAGTAATAAATAATTCCTAAATTTGGATGAAATTTAGAGGTTGCTTCTAACTTTGAAACATCAAATTGCCTTTATTTTAAGCAAATTACAAGGTAATATCATACTAAGCATTTTAAATTTAGAGTTGATAATTTCCATGCTACAATTTCACAAGATCACATTGTGCTTCTTACTGCTATACTTACATGAGACTTCTATTTAAACAGTAAATGGTCCTGTGCTTAGTAATTTTTCAGATCATTATAGCAACTTCTAAATATTATTAAAAATTTTACCAAAATTACTTTCTTTTACTAATGGAAACATCAATCTTTTTTAAACTTAAAAATAAGGACCACACTACCCAGTATATTGCATCATTTGGCTGCTAAAGCACACAGAACAATTATCTGCCTATATTTTAATGGTCAACACATTCTCTGAAGGGTGAGTTCTGTCAACACGGTCTAACGACTCCTGTGAGAGTGTTGACTGAAGAACTGATTAACATTGTTGGTGTCATTGTCTGAAAAGACTGCAAAGTTTTCATCACTAAACATGATATTATGTAGAACAATTGCCATGTAAGTGTCTATATAATTTTGAACAACAACCATTTGCACACCAATCACTTCCCCCCCATTTCTAATGCTTGAGCATAAGTACAATTTATATGGAAGTCTGCTAAAAGTTACAATATCTACTAGCCAATCTGAATGATACCATTTTGAAGTCAGTTGTCATTGGTGATGTAACCTTGTTATATCACTTTTTTTCTGAGAGAAAATTGTTATCATTGTCATTATCTCACACTCCCAAGAAGTTAAGGAAGAAGCTCTATCTGCTGACAAGGTAATGGTCATCTATTGCCTTTTTTGATTGCAAAGGAATATTTTACCATGTTGTGTTACTACTAACAGCAATTACTGGACAATACTACTGTTTGTTTTGCATACTATTTTGGAGATAACATCTACAGGAAAGTCACAGTTTTTATGCCGATGTTTGGTGGTGTGCCATTACAATTCACTCTCACTTGTTGCTAAAGTTTTTGGCTAAGAAAAACATATTGAGTATCTGGCATCCACCATTCACCCCAGAATTGGCATTTTACAATTTTTTCCTATTAGCACTGAAATTGGAGTGATGGTGTCCATTTTCTGTTTACAACAGCAGTAGTCAAAGAATTGGAGTATTTTTGGAGAATATTTTAAAGGATGGTCTACAATATGTCTTAAAGACTGATTGAAATTTTAAACTTTTGAAAATACTATGGTTGCTATGTTCTATAGATACTATTATGTGAAAAAATAATTAGTCCCAATTTATTTTGACTTACTTTAATAATTATTCATTAGTTTCTAGTACTTCAGAATTCCTTAATTTTGTGAAAAAGACTTCATTTCTAAATAGGCAAATCTATATTATATAAAAGATAAAATATTATAATTGTGTTTTATTTCAAAAAACAAAATTCATTGAAATGTTCCATTTTAATGTATTTAGATTTTTTAAAATTATTCAAGGTATTAAATATGTTATCATTTACAACATTAAAAATATTATTCATGATGTATATTATTTAGTTAATGACTTTTTCATAATTTACTGTTAAAATTTTTGGCTTCTTTAAATTTTTGTTAATGTCTAAATATAACAGTCAAAATTTTTCAGTTTTTTAATGTAGAAGACATGGTTGCTGTATCTTCAAATTCTGTGTGTACAGAATTTCAGTTTTTTGTTTTTGTTTATAATTTATTCTTTCTGTATCATATTAATTATCAATTTTTAAGTTCTGTTTCACTGGTCATTAATTAAATGCTTCTCTATTGAATCTCTAGATTTTTGTGATAGTTTTTATCTCTAATAATGTTTTCATTAATTTATCCATTCATTTAATTCTTTCTTTCAATATTTTTCATTTTTAATCATATTTAAAATTCTGTTTAATTTTCTCATTGTGACTTCTTTTTTTTTTTTTTGTATGTCAAAAGAGATTAGGATTAATATGGTATTTTAACAGATAAAACTATTATTATATTTGTCATTACTTTTGAATATCTTTTAATATTAATTCATCTCTTAAGTAAATTAAAAAATTTGAATAATTAAATAATTTGAAAAATTTGAATAAAATTTGAAAAATTTTTTTACAAATTTATTCTAAATTGAATAAATTTGTAAAAAAATTTTTGTTATTCTAAAAAAGTTATCACATCACAAGTACTTTAGAGGTTATTTAGAATTTATTATCTAGCCAAAATATTTATTCTGTTGAAATTGTTTACAAGACCAGTTTAATTTCATTATCTGTAGCCATAAGTGAATTTCATATTTTGAAGTGAATATTACAAAACTGTATTGGAAAATACAACTCTCTTAATTAATATGGAAAACAAGTATTTTTCTCATCACTAAAGCTAGGTTATATAGGAACTAAAACTAATATAAATGGTTATAAAATTCAAATAAATTGCAATTTTTTAACTAATTATAGAATTTTTTATGCCTAGATGTCCTAGCTGTATTCATCATATTATATTAAAAATAATATCTGTCTTCTCTCTCAAAGTATTCCACAAAATTGTATTTTCCAATCAATAGAAAAATATACAGAGTGGGAAAGAAAGTTACTTAACACTCCTGCTACAGAATATAGAATGTACTGAAATTTAATTCACTCATGTCAGGAATACGTTAGACTGAGGGGAAACAGATTAATGTGTGTTACACACACAGCTGCCATTTTGATGGTGGTCACATTTAATGCAACTCGGAAATTATAAATGGGAAGGGGGTCACGTGATACATAATTTTTGGGTGAGAATTTCACAAGGAATTGATTGCTGAAAGATTTTATAGACCTACCTTGAATGGTTACAGAGTTATCCACATTACATGATTTGCTTAATGTACTGTACATTCTATATTCTGTAGCAGGGGTGTTAAATGACTTTCTTTTCCCCTCTCTCCCGCTAGTGAAACTTAATAATAATAATAAACTTTTTAGTTAATAATCACATAACAACAACCATATAATTACATTCTTCTACTGACTTTATTAAAATTTAGTTTAATAGACAATCAGGAGAATTAAAATTTTTGTTATTTTTTCATTCATTTCTAATATATTTTTATTAACTGTATCACAATCAGATTATTGATGTCCCATTCTAAATAACTGGTTTTTTACATCATATTTTAAGCAGAATAAATTTATATATTGAGGAAAATATGACAAATAAACTAATTAAAGAAAAAACAGTGTTTAAGGCTGTGTACACACTAGACGTTTTTAAACGTGCGTTTTAAAGAACCAAGAGTTCTATATACGCATACACACTCAAATGCGCGCTTTTGGCCAAGCGCGTGTTAAACACACGTTTATAGATTTTTGTTAAAACGCACGTTTTGCAGGCGCTTTATGGACGCTTTGAGATATATGTGCTGCCATGTTACTGTACATTCGATCGCGCGTTTTGTGGGAGTCAACCGAGCACTTTGAGATATATGTGCTGAAATGGAGAACGATCATTTCGATACTGATCTATTTATTGATGAAATCTAAAAGAGACCAACCATCGTCAAAGGATTTTATAGATATTTTAAAAGAATTAAAAAACTTGGGTTCATTTTGTCTTAGTTTTGGATACAACGTCGCAAACATTCCATGTGTCAGTCTATCTCGTAATATTGGGTGCACCCAAAATTCTCTATGTGTCTGTCATCGTCTTTTATAGTGACGATGGAGGAGGGTCACACAAGCAATTACTTTCACGTCCATTTCCAAACTGAGCCAGTGTGTACGCTCCAGAAACGCTCGTCAAATGCCGAGCTAACGCGCGTTTAAAAACGCCTAATGTGTACACAGCCTAAAGCTGTAATAAATGAAAATTATATGAGTAACTTACATTTTTTTTAAAATAAACATTTTCCTAGGTTTCAAATAAGAATAACTTTAAAAAAAACTGGTACATTTCAAATGACTAATAACACAGGTCTACAAATAAAAACTTTGTTTCTTAATGATTTCAGCTTGCTGAATTTAAAAATGGTTATAAAAAAACCAGAATTAGCTCAAGTTTACAAGGTACATCAACGTTTAATAAATTGTATAATATATCAATACATCTGAATACATAAACATAATGTAATTTTCATTTGAGTTGGAACACAGAAACCATCAAAACACTTTTTGATACATAAAAACTAAATAAACAGCGAAAGCATAAAATACCCATGACATCACTTGCATGTATGACACTTATTTACAGACTTCTTGTATGAATCTGCAAGCGTTTCACATGTAATGTTCCAGCAGTAGTCTGCTAACATTGCCAGACTCTATTTCCCTAGGTATCACTTTTCCATACAAGCAATGTCTTGGTGAAAATGCTCCTTATGTTTGTCACTGACAGACCCGTAGTTTTGAGGGAAAAAGTCAATGTGAGGATGCAAAAAGTGCATTTGTGCATTTTCAATGACATGTTGCATCTTATCTTTCCATAACACGACAGCATGTTATTTGTAATTTGTAATTTCTTTTTTGTAATTAGAAACTTGTGTTTTTCAAGAAAATTGTTTATCACCATCCTGAAAGTATTCCAAGCTTCTTTTCCAGCACCTATTAGTACGCTATCAAAGTGTATATTTTTGAGAAGCTTTGAAATCTGTGGACCTACAAATATCCCCTCTAACTTTTGCCCCACTGATGTTTGGAAATGTCTCTCTAAAAAACTAAATTTTGGGCTATTTCGATCCATGGTTTTGACAAAGTTTTTCATAAATCCTAATTTTATATGCAACAATAGTAGTATGATCAAACTGCATTTTACTAACAGTTCAGATAACATTTTTTTGATCCAGGTTTGAGGGGTTTCCTTTATGGTCAGTCTCTCCTTTTGAAATTGTGCTACTCGGTCTCTGCTATCTCTCTCACAGAGAAAACAACAGTACAGTAGATCCCCCTATAAAACCGTTTCCTCTAGTTATGATTCCTATAAAAATTGTGGCATTATCCGTAAACAACGGTAAAAATAACTCCTATAATACGTAAAACGTCATCGGGCAGCCGAACTACTTACCCGCCGTCCGTAGCGCCACGCTACGGAGAGATTTCTATCGTCTGGACAGTATTATATAAATTATATATAAATTAGGTACTGTACATATAATTATATATTAATTATATATAAATTAGGTACTGTATATATAATTATATATTAACTTAATTTATTGTAACTTTATTATAATTAAATATATATTTTTCGCCGTCTAGCGTCACGCTACGGCGAGTTAGGCGACCTATCGTCTGTTTAGTACTGTAATTTTATACATTTCTTGTGAAAGAAACATTTCTTATTTAACGGCCATAAAAATTATTTATATTAATGATGTCTCCAAAGGTCAACGAAGTTTTCGCAGAAAAATAATATCAGAAATCGCGGCCGCGGTTTGATGCGCTGTTCCGCGACGAAACCAAGCTTTAGCAACGGGCGTAGTCGAACGGTACACACTCGGTAAGCAATCCTACAATTTTTTGTTTATAACGTAGTTTATACGGATTATTTTCAAAAAAATATACGTATTTTGGAAATGTTGAGTCGAATTAGTCTAGAATCGATTAATTTTATGAAAGAAAACCTTTCAAACAGCCGTAGTCCGTAAACTATGATTCCTACAAAATTGATTCATAAAGAACGGAACGTATCTACCGTCTTATAGGGGGATCTACTGTACTTCATATATCCCAGCTGAAGTCCAAGTAATAATGCTATAACTTTAAAATCACAACAAACTTTCCATTTATGTTCTTGATAATTTACTTTTGCAAGAAGTTGCTTCATGCTTTTGTATGATTCTTTCATGTACTTTGCATGGCCAATATGAATAGAAAGGTTTTGTTACACAACAGTAACAAAATAGCTTTAAGGCTCACCTTGGAGGAGTCAATGAAGAGTCTCCATTTGCATTGTTTGTAGCATATATTGAGAGCTGTCATAAGAATGATTGTTTTTCTTTCCACAGACATTCAAGAAAATGTGCTGTAGGAATACATTTCAAGAACTACAGAAAAATGGCAATTTTTCCAAAAATTTACATATTTGGTTCGAAATCTTAAAAACTAGAGCCAAGTTAATGTTTTAATTGTCATATTCATATTCAGCACCCTTGAATTAGTAATATTCTGCTACTTTGGTTTCGGAAGCTTTTTGGCTGTTGACCAGTGCAATTTTTAAATAGATTTTGCATAAACTACTATAATACTTTTGTTTATACAATTAATATGTCAGCAATTGCAGAAACTTAACAAGAATATAACATTTTATCAGAAAGAGTTACTAAAGTTTTAAGTAGAAAAAGAAAACAATGTTTATTTCCTTTTGAAATTAATACTATGGCTCCTGATGAAGTTTTTATTAAAGAATGAATTTATAAATAATTTAATTAAATTTGATTTATTTTCTTTAAACACTTTTTATAATTTATTTATTGTTGAATTTTATCTGATGCAATATAATTTATTTTAAACTCAAATCTAACAATCTTGATATTTTATGATAAATTTTATTCTTTATTACATTTTCAAATTAAATGCATTAATATAATGTTAAATGTAATATTTCTAGGATGCAATATAATTTTAATAGATAAATTAATAGCAAGAGAAGAGGAAAATAATATATTTTTATGAAACTGGGTTATTGCTAGTAAATAAGCAATGATATGTTGTATGTTTTAAAAAATTTTTTATTATATGTTGTATTAAACAGTACTGTTGCAGGGAAATAGTGCCATGACATCTCCCAAGACCATCTCTCACTCACTTGATAGCAAACAGTCTTACTCATTCAGCCACCATGTCTCATAATACAGTGAAACACTTGAGATGGGACTGTGCATAAAACTGCAATAAAGTAGTAGTAGTTATTCAGCACCCTGATATTAGACAATCATAAACTGCCACTGGTTTTAAGTCACATTTTAGGATATTGGTTGGGGATTTTGAATGCATGTTGTAATAAGTTATAATTTTCTTACATCAATAATTGATTATAAACTTCTAGTCAATATTCCCTCAGAACATCTGATTTTAAGGAATAGATAACTTATGTTGAGTGATAGTTGCTGTTTATATACATCTTACAATATTGCAATTTTACAATTTAGATTATTTTATTTTAAATAATGTATAAAAATGAATAAATTATTTAAAATTTATATGTAATTTCAGATATTCGTCGTGCACAGTTAGAAAAGGAGCCTACTCCTCCACCAGAAGAATTAAAACCAAAACGTAAACGTGCCAAAAAGAAAAAACCTGAAGGTAAAGATGGCTCTCCGTGTAAAAAACGAATTAGGAAAGGATCGATTTCAAAAAATGAGGAAGATTTTGATACATACATGGAAACTATGATGGCTCAATTGAGATCTCTTCCACCTATAAGAATACTTGAACCTAACATTAAACCAAATTTTAGTGTTTGTCCAATATTTGGAAGTGGGGATTTAAATTTAAAAGGTATTTTTATTTTTTTTTTGAAATACACTTAATTTTGAACAAGAGAATTTTTGGTAAATCTGTAGTTAAGTGTCTAAATCTTATTTAATGAAATAGCCAGTAATTGCTATATGGTGATAACATTGTTAGGTGTGAACCATTGATAATATTACCATTTTTTTCATTAGTATTTAATTCTTATTAATTTAGAATAGTTGTATTTTGAAATAACATTGTAATTTCTATATTGAAAATTTATTTTTTTAAGACTTATTTTATTGATATTTCATTGCCTTTATTTTGTGAATGCCATATGCACATTTTGGAAACTTTCTTCCCCTCTTTAGTATAGCACATTTTTGTCTTTCTTATTTATCAAGACACATCTGCAGTAAGTTTCTGTAAAATGGTGGTAAATTTGTTACAAATTCATTTATTCTTTCTTCTGTACCTGGAGAAAACATGGATGCTTGTAGTGGTTACTATCTCTATAAATCAATGTTATTTTTTATTAACAAAAAAATACATTTAAGAGTCCACTTTATTAATAATAAAACATTCTACATATTTTATTTAGTCAATAAAAGTGGTACAAGGGGACCCACTCTATCCTGGGTCAAATACAAGCATGCAACATGTGTTTCATTTGGAAAAGGAAGATAATGAGGAAATTAGATTTCATTCTGATGTTTTACTCCTTTGTGTTCACTGTCATTCACTTCCATACATTGTCACATATTGATCATGTATTGATTCTGTGTCAAAATGCTTCAAATGCATTACATACATACATTGTGGCAGTGAAGATGACAGTTTCCACTTGTCAGTGCTGAAATTTCTCCATGCAGAGGTCTTGTGTTTGCTCTCATTCACTTCCATGTATTGTCATGTCTGCACTGAAATAATTCTATGTGAATAATATCCATTCATGTGTTCTGGCTCTTGAAGCCAAAACACATGGAGAGATATTATTTCATGGAATTATTATGGTGCAAAACATAACACAAAATGGATTGAAATGAGAGCAAAACACAGCCTCACCACAGAGAAATTTCAGCACCATATCTATTTAAGAGTGAAACACATGAACTGGCCCAGTTCTCTGACTTCCACATGATTAACGATGCTCCGATTAATCGGTAAGTAATTGGTAATCGACCATTTTCCCAATTAATCAGTATCGGGCTTTTCTCTGATTAATCGGTTTTAATAATCAGCCAATTTTGCATTTTAATATTTTTATTAGAATGTTACATATAAGCCTAGTAATAAAAAATAATAAATTTCTGTTATATATTTATTATTTATTACATGACAAACTGAATATTAAAAAAAATTTTACAATTCAAATTACAGTAGAGCATCGATTATCCGACTCAATTGGGGACTCAGATTGGTCGGATAATTGAAAAGAATTTTTAAAATATACATTATTAGTATAGCATATTAGTATATCACTATTAACCAACTTTGTGTTGAATTTTCTTCTGTTAAGCCTAACAAATTTTTTTTTTAAATAATAATCATCGCTATTGTATCGTTAAAAATTCTTTTTAAATTATTTTATCACTCACAAAACAAACAATTTTTAAATTATTTTATCGCTCACAAAACAGTGTTTAAATGAGACTTAATTAGAAAATTAAGTCTCGTTTAAATACTGGCCTCCCTTCAATGGTAGAATCGATGTTGCCAGCTAAAACACGCAAAAATTTAATAAAAATAATATTAAAGTATTCAAGACATAGCCAAATATTGTAGCGCCAAATCACTAGCAGACATTTGAAATTTGCCGACTAGAACGGTCAGTTAACCGATGTGACGGTTAATCGGGGATCGGATAATCGATGCTCTACTGTATTCCTTTTATCGATACATATTATAAGATACAATATAACCTATTCAAAACTATCTCTTTTATTTAATGTTTAAACTTTAAACATATAAAACAAATAAAAATTTAATATTCAGACTGTAAAACCCTTAAATTTTTATGCAAAAACATGAGAATTTTACCATTTTCAGGGCATAACCTATTTCTTGCCGGCTCATGTTACCTCCAATGCTGAAAATTCTTTCACTTTCAATGGAAGATGCTGAGGCAGTTAAATATTTCATAGCTAATTCGCTCAAATTACGAAAAAGTTCTTTTGAACTTCTTTACCAAAAAAATGGGTCACTATGTCTTTCTTTAAGGGGTAAATGTAAATATGTTTCTAATTCTTGATCGAAACGTTTGTTCATTTCTTTTGCTTTTTCTTTCTTTTTAAAAACATGCTCTTCTTCATTCTTTCGTTTATTAGAAGCTAATTCATCAAATAAATTAGAAAAACTTAAAGATTCTCCTCCATCTTCTTCATCTCCAGAAGTAGAAACTTCAAAATTTAATTTTTTTGAGATTTTGAATTATCATCTTTTAAGGCAGTGGTCCCCAACCCCCGGGCCATGGACCGGTACTGGTCCTTGGATCAGATGGTACCGGGCCACCCAAGAAACATTAAATTACTGGTATTTCCATTTTATTTACTATGGTGTATTTCTCTCGGGTTTGTGTGACTTTTAATGGATGACGGAACAATGGAATAAACTAGACATACGAAACACACTTCGGGTGTCATTGTCTCCTATTACTCTCAGATGGAACCGTCTTGTTGCAAAGAAACAAGCTCAGGGTTCTCATTGATTTAACGTTCTAGTGAGTTAAAATGTTAAATTACATTATATTCATTTTTTGGTGTAACTATATTTTATTTTGAAGACATGTTTAAATACAATTAAATTAAATCAATCTAAAATATAAACAATCAACATCCCCCTCAGTGGGCCGCGGTAAAATATCAAACGTTGACCGGTCCGCGGCGATAAAAAGGTTGGGGATCACTGTTTTAAGGTATCAATTGATCATCTTTTTATTTCCTCTACCATATCCTCTTTTTGAAATTTCATTTTGAATCTTGGATCTAATAAAGATGACAAGCATAAAGTCTTGTTTTCTATATATGCTGAAAATTTTTTTTATTGAATTTTTTAATTTTTTTATTGTGGTATACATTACATTTAGATTATTTACAGAATCTAATTAAAAAGAGAATCACTACCAACTGAATGAGTTATCAAAATAATTGATCATCTTTTTATTTCCTCTACCATATCCTCTTTTTGAAATTTCATTTTGAATGTTGGATCTAATAAAGATGACAAGCATAAAGTCTTGTTTTCTATATATGCTGAAAATTTTTTTTATTGAATTTTTTAATTTTTTATTGTGGTATTAATGCCACTAAAGGAACTACTGCTCTTTGCATTTGATAAGAATAATTTCAGAGTCTCTATTGTGGCAATTATTGAAGATGAGGTGGTTTCTCATTTGCTGGCTTCCATGGTAATTTCTTTGAATGGTTTTAAAAGTAGAACAATTTTTTTAATGAGAGACCATTGATATGGGCTCAATGTAGGAATATTATTATCTATAGCATACGTGACCAGGGCTTTTTGCTGTTCCAAGTTTCTTTGCAACATGTAGTATGTAGAATTTCAGCAAGTAGGAACATCTTGAATTACTTTGTGTTTTTACAAACCTAACTTGTCTTCCAATTTGCTTATAGCTACAGCAGAATGATTATAATGTGTGACAATATTTCTATTAACTGTGATTATAGTTTTCACATCTTATTGAGAAAATATGCATTCGTTTAGTGTCAGCTGCAGTGTATGAATAAAGCATGATAATGCCTCTAAGTTGTAATTCCCGATTCCAGCTACCATATTTGCTGCAGAATCTCTTAGTACTAAGAATATCTTATTACTTGTCAACTTATACTGTAACAAGAACAATGTTTATCTGATTCGTGTAGCTGTGTGGGAACCTTCAAAGGGAACAATTCACAAAACATCCCTTTCTTGCTAAAAATCATCCTTCAACCAGTGGGCTGTTACACTTAAAAAGGGAGAATTGTTTGTAATTGCTGTCCAAATATCAGCAGTAAAGAAATATATTTTGTTTCTGTTAATTAAACACAGAAACACTTCAGCTTTTTAAACAATGTCAAAGTTTCCATGTGTCGATAATTAAGTGTTGAGATTTATTTTAGAAACTTTCTCAAACAAAGGAAGAGATTGTTGATTTTGCAACGATATTTAACCGTCTCTTGTTTACCGGACCAGAGGGAGATGGAAATACCAGACAGAGAAAACTGGGTTTTTTTCCGCGTTATAATTAACCGTACAATTAACTTTAGGATCTCACACTATTAACACAATAAATTATTAATGCTAATCGGCCATTTTGCTTATCAGTGCATCCTTACACATGATAAAAATGAATCTGTGTGTTTTTGTCCTAAGACTTAAAATTTTCTTCTGACAACAATCTGAAAAATTTAACTAATTTCAAAAATTATTGTATATACAGAAAAACATGAAAAGAGATCTGGTAAGCATTACATATTTTATGGTATATGCACCTTTGCTACCAAAATTTAATAAAATTAATTATTTGAGAACTTTTGCTTTCTAAAAAATATATTTAAAGTTGATTTTAAATTTATGATGCATCATAGAATTGAAGTAATACAGTATACCAAAATATATTTAAAAATTATAATTCCAGCTTAAGAACAAAAATTATGAATAAATATGTGATATATATTTATTTAAAAACAATAAGTGTTCCTCAATATAAAATTACCATTTATCTAATAAATTATTAAATTCTGTTTCTAAGGTGCCTAGCATCATACTTATAACAAGAAGTTTAACAAGTAAAACAGCAAGGCCATATTTGGGACAAGACTTATGTCTCGGAGACGCACTACTAAGAGGAATCATTTTGATGCTCAAGGCGGGTCTCATTCTCATTCTCCAATCTTCTTTGGTATTGCTGGTTTTGAGTGCAATCTTTCAAACTTCGCCGGCCATGACCACGAGGTCATCCACGATGCATTTTTGGTGAAATTAACCTATCCAATTTCAAAATTTCTCAGCGTTGCATGTTGCCCCAGATTGAATTTTTGTTGATGCCT